GGAGAGTGTTGTCTCTTGCGATCACGCCGCATAGACCCCTTGTTGTTTGTTTATAATAAAAATGCCGGAGTTTCTATTTGCGCCGGTCGCTCTAATTTTTATGACCGACGTTTTCATGACCCGGAGATATCTGGGTTTGTTTGGAAAGCTGCTAAGATTTTGTGTTATTGCTAGGCGCAGTTTATCTTTCCGGGCGCCGATATAATTTTTGTTTGTTCTCCTATCGTCTGGAGTTTTAAGTTTCCAAATGATAGGAGACCCGTTCGAGTTATTTATTATAATAAAAAAAAAAGGGTTCGCTATGCGTTGGCGCGTCGCGTCGCATGAAAAAGGGGACCGTGGAGTCTCCAGGACGTAACACTTGGTATCAATGTTTCCTCTGTNGAGAAAAAAGATGCAGTGTACAATACTACCTTTGCTTTTATGCATACACATTCTATAATTGATACTTTGAAAGAAGATAATGAAGTACACACTCACATGAAGGAAATAAATACATTTTATGATATTTATGGAAGTCCAGAACAAGTTCGTAGTAATAATACAGATATAGATTCAGATTACACTACTTCAACGTTGAGCATGCCAAATGAAAATTCATGTGGCAATAAAGATTTATTAGACTTGGATACTGATAATACATCATTGTCTTTTAACAACGGACAACAAAATGATAAAGCCACTGAAATTGTAGAAACAGAAAATGTACATCTGTCTTCTTCATTTATTACAAATCTCAGTAGTGGTAAGTATAAAAAACATTTGATATAAGATATTATATATTAAATATTTNATATAATAAAATATTTTGAGATTTTTTAAACTATTATTTAAATATTCATTTATAGATAAAGAAGAAACCGACAAAGAAAGCGTGATAATACTGCTACTACGGACTATGAAACACATAATAGCGATTATAGTTTAGATGATTCAGAAGTAGAGAATAGTAAACATTCAAGATCATTTGTTAACGATATTAATACTACTACATTTTATAATTCTTCAGCTAATAACACAACAGAAACTTCTTTTGATACATTTCTAATACTTAATGTAGAAGGATTTTCTGCATGTGATGATACTAATATGTTTGTTGAAACATNGCGTGGTCCTAAAGGTCAAGGTAAAACTAATTTTTGTTTTTTTTGTAACAAAATGCAAACAAAGATAGTTCGACACTTAGAAACAGTACATAAGGATGAAGAAGACGTAAAAAAGTTTAAATTTCTTCCTAAAGGCAATAGCGAGAGAAGACATATCATAGATTGTTTGCAAAAAAAGGAAACCTTTGTATATAACGTAGATCCTAGATTTAATGCTGGAAATGTTATACCATGTAGACGACCGCGTAAAAATCTAAAACGTACTGCTGTAGATTTTGCACCATGTGCCAAGTGTAAAGGCTACTTTGCCAAAAGCAGTTTTAGATATCATTTTAGACATTGTCATGTAAAACAGGGACGAACTGTAAGATCAACTTTAGCTTTGGCACGTAAAGTTGTCGGTCACATTCATAAAGATGCATGTCAACAATTAAGAGAACATATTTTTCCTGTACAATTAGATATGATTCTCTTATTATTAAGTACGGAAATAAAATGTACAAAAAGTACATGTTACAGCATCAGCATGATATGATTAGAGCTCATTGTGGCGGTCAAAAAAACCACTACTAGAAAAATAAAAGTTACGTACGGCAGGACGCGCAGTTTCGCGCGCCGCTGCTACGTGGCGCACGACCGCGAGTGTCGCGCGGAGTTACCTATTGCCGCGGCGTCTACATATATAGACCCGCTCGGCGCATATCTATCGCCGTACAGTGAGCGGCACCAAAGCAGAAGACCAGCAGCATTAATCCCGAAGCACCCAGCTACGCTCCAGCGGTCCGGATCACTAGACCAACGCCTCCACGATCTTCAGGGATACACCTCAAAGCGATCTTCATCTCGGAACCTTATGGAGTAGCAGAACCAGAGGCGACCAATCAGAAAGCGGAATCCACTGGACCAATAGAAGAGTCGTTCCGGCCGTGAATACTCTGACCTCACAACATACCCTCGCCTCGGCGAACGCGGCCTCCTAGAGCCCTGCTGGCACAGTGGGACATCAGGGTCCGGAGATACACCTCACCTAGAGACAGTCTGGTTCTTCCTCCGCTCATCTCGCCAATACCTTCTCCTCCACGCCAGAGGATTTACAAATAGACGCAGACACTTCCCCCACCTCGCGTACATAGAGGGGTGCAGAGAAAACGACTGGTATATAAGGATCAGTCCACGCAGTCGAGCGACAGTGAATGGGAACGATCGCCACGGAAAACTATCTCCACAGCAGTACAGACCGAGATCATCGGCGAATTCATCCCGCAGCGTAAACCGGAGAAGAAGCGGCAGCATAGAGAAAGAAGCCGTTCCAGACATCGATCGCCCAGCGCCAGGAGAGCTCACTCCCGCAGTAGACGAGATCGATCACGACATCGCAGAACACGACGGAGAAATTTGGCACATCTAATTATACAAACCGGCTCTTGTCAGAGCCAAGTATATACCTTGTAAATAGTCTATAAATTCCTTTGGAATAAAACCTAATTTTTGGGAACATCAATCTTCATCAAAAGAACCACACCTCGGCCGCCATCCTTTTTGCTGCTATCACCACTGCTGCTATCCACCATTGCTGCTGACCTAAACTACCCACTAAACTCATCTTAGACTTCTAGGTCGTTATTTAATTACCATAAAAGAGATAGATNCAGAAATTACAGATTTTGCTGCGATATATGATCCAAAGTTTTACAATTCAGCAACTAGAGCAGTGAATATTGTTGCCGGCTTAGATGAGACAACCAATACATACAAAACACCAACTGTAGCTTCGACACTTGGCACATGCATAAAAAAATTAGGTCAAATTTTAGAAAGTGAATGTATTAAAGAACATGATAAGNAAAAAAANGAATATGTTCATGANTTTTTACTACTTCTTGAAGAAGATTATGGNTGTACTGTAAATAGGGTCGTGTTAGAAAGTCGGCTTGCAAGCAAGCGTCATGAAAAAGTAATACTTCCACTAAAGACTGATATAGTCAAGTTAAATGATTACATAAAAACTTTACGTGAATCTTCATATCACAAATTACAAAATAAGTTCACGTATCACGCTTGGTTGACTTTAGCAAAAGCTACTCTTATCTACATTCAAATATTTAACCGTCGTAGAGCAGGTGAAACTGAGCGACTGCTAATAAATGATCTTAATAAATCCGAACAAATTGATCAAAGTGATGAACAATATAGAAAATTACGTNCGGAAGATAAANAAANTGCTGNAAGATACAGACGTGTNGTNATTCGTGGAAAACTCAGAAGACTTGTTCCAGTATTATTAGATTTTGATATGCGTCGAAGTTTGAAAACTATTTTAAAGTTTCGGAAAAATGCAGGTGTTTCTTCTAAAAATCCATACGTATTTGGAATTCCTGGATATCACAAAAACCGCTACAAATATCTAAGAGCTTGCAAATTATTGCGTGAATTTGCTCATAAATGTGGCGCAAAACGTGCAAATTCTCTACGAGTTACAATTCTACGAAAGCACATTGCAACAACATGTGCAAGTTTAGATTTACCAGAAAATAAAGTTGATCAGTTTGCAAACTTTATGGGACACCATGAAAAAGTTCACAAACAAATATATCGTCAGCCTGTAGCAGCAATTGATATTTTAGACATGTCTAAAGTTTTAGAAAAAGGACTTGGCATACATGAAAATGAGGACAATAATATTAATTATAAAGATACTTCAAAAAGAAGAAATCAAAATTTTAATTTGGATATTACAAAAAACAAATATGCTTCAAGTAAAAATAATGATAGCAATCAAACTAATATACAAATACATAATACTACAAATAATAATAAATCGAAAATTCNACAAATACCAGCATATGAAATAAACCGACATAAAGAAGTTANTTCTACAAAGAAGAAGCGTTCCAGTAAGTAATAATTTTTTTCTCTAAAATAAAATATACATTTATATGTGTGTCTCACATTGATAACATTGTAATATTAAAAACTTATTTACGCAAAAGTAATGTTTTTATTTTAGTTTCTTTAAAATAATAGTCATATTTTTCTAAATTATAAAATAAGATTAAATTGTGTTACATTTTATTACATTACATTTAGTTATTTTCTATGTGTTATATTCTATTTGAAGATATTTTTTTAGATTCGCGCTAGTGTTATTTTTATACCGACATTTCGTGAACATTTTTGTTAATTTCATCAGAGTTTCAAAAGCAATTTGATATTGAGATGCTCTGGCAAAATATCCCTTTTTATAGTGTTAGATTATAGGGAAGAGCATGTAATAGAGGAGTAATGTAATGTAGCGGAAGAGAAGTGCAGAAGAGTGTTATAAAAGAATGAATTGCCATAATGAGCTGATAATTTGTTTATTATCATTTGTATTATCTCTAATCACCAATCCATTATGGCAATCCATTCTTTTATAACACCTTCTCTTTTGCTACATTACTTTACCTCTCTCCTACAAGCCCTTGCCTATAATCTAGCGCTATAAAAAAAAGACATTTGGCCAGGAGCATCTCAATATCAAATTGCTCTCGAAACTCTGATAAAGTGAACTAAAATGTTTACTAAACGCCAACATAAAATAACGCTAACGCGGTTCAAATACAGAAAATATCTCCGAATATTACCATAACACACCACAAAAGCATCAATTATCATTTTCCATATTTGTATTTTTTATACAACATTCTTGCAGTACTACAAATAATTTAATAAAATTTTTTTCTAATCTAATACTAATATATGTTTATGTATGCATTTAAAATTAACCTTTATGTTTAGAACTCTTTATGTGTTGATTTTAGCATCGCCATTTAGAAAAACAATCAGATGCCGATGAAATGAGGAAGAGAAAGAAATAATATTTTTTGCTTTTCGAAAAAATATTATAGAAAAAACATTGCCATCTTTACTTTGCATAGAAAAACTGAGATTACAGAATTCATGTTTACGCAAACAAAGTGCTGCTGTTATAAAAACTTGGATTCACAATCAAATTAAAAAAAATACAGAAAGTTCCGTAGAGAAGTACACAAATACAGGGTGCGTCGCCAAAATCCGGACAAATTTCAATTTGATATTCCCTCCGTTCAGTACCATTGGCAGATGTCGCGATTGGCATTCAAATAGCTTGACGCATGTACTAAACTACCATAACTTC